GAAAAGTTAAATGCTGTGTCAAGGATACACAGAGAGTTGCAGTTTATGCCTAGAACCTAGCTGTCCAAACTTCCAGACCAAATGATTTTTCTATTTATATTCTCTAATGACCACTGTTATTATTTTATTTTTGAGACAGGGTCTCACTCTGTCACCCAGGCTGGAGTGCAGTGGCATGATCTCAGCTCACTGCAACCTCCGCCTCCTGGCTCAAGCAAACCAGTCACTCAGGTTGAAGTGCAGTGGCACAATCATGGCTCACTTCAGCCTTGACCTCCTAGGCTCAAGGAATCCTCCCTCTTTAGCCTCCCAAGTAGCTGGGAATACAGGCCCATGCCACCACTCCTGGCTAACTTTTGTATTTTTTGCGGTAGAGACAGAGTTTTGACGTGTTGCCCAGGCTGGTCTCAAACTCCTGGGCTCAAGTAATCTACCTGCCTTGGCCTCCCAAAGTGCCAAGATTACAGGCGTGCACCACCATGCCTAGCCCTAACTACTACTCTTAAATACCTTTAGTCTTCTACTAAAACAAGAATGAAGTTGTTAATTTTCATATAAAACACACAACACTCCAACCTGGAGACTGAGACCCTGTCTCCAAAGAGCAAACAAACAAACACATATGCAGAACATTAACTTGTGAGTGGCATTTTATCTTTATGTCCTGAAAATCTGTATCTTTGTGATGAAGCTAACACTGACTCCCCAGTTTTTGTTGTTGTTGTTGTTGTTTTTGTTTTGTTTTGTTTTGTTTTTTTGAGACAGAGTCTCGCTCTGCTGCCCAGGCTGGAGTGCAGTGCAGTGGCCGGATCTCAGCTCACTGCAAGCTCCGCCTCCCGGGTCCATGCCATTCTCCTGGCTCAGCCTCCCGAGTAGCTGGGACTACAGGTGCCCGCCACCTCGCCCGGCTAGTTTTTTGTATTTTTAGTAGAGACGGGGTTTCACCGTGTTAGCCAGGATGGTCTTGATCTCCTGACCTCGTGATCTGCCCGTCTTGGCCTCCCAAAGTGCTGGGATTACAGGCTTGAGCCACCGCGCGCGGCATTGTTGTTGTTTTTGAAACAGAGTCTTGCTCTTGTCGCCCAGGCTAGAGTGCAAAGGCACAATATTGGCTCACTGCAACCTCCGCCTCCCAGGTTCAAGCGATTCTCTTACCTCAGCCTCCCGAGTAGCTGGGATTACAGGTACCCACCATCATGCCTGGTTAATTTTTGCATTTTTCGTAGAGACGGGGTTTTACCATGTTGGCCAGGCTGGTCTTGAACTCCTGACCTCATGATCTGCCCACCTCGGGCTCCCAAAGTGCTGGGATTACAGACGTGAGCCACCATGCCTGGCCCCCCAGTTTTTTAAGGATATTACTGTTCATAAAATTTTAGGATCATTCCTCTTCTAGTGGTATTTTTTAATTAAAAAAAAAATTTTTTTTTGATAATTCTGTGACCAGGATTAGAAATCAATGGTGGTAACAAATGACTAAGAAAGTGCTAACTTTTTGGAAAATTGTAATTTTATGGCAAGTAATCTAAAGGAGCACAAAACATTTTCAGGTCAGGCTCATTCCTGTAATCTCAGCACTTTGGGAGGCCAAGGTGGGTGGATTACTTGAGGTCAGGAGTTCGAGAGCAGCCTGGCCGACAGGATGAAACCCCATCTCTACTAAAAATACAAAAATTAGCTGGGCGTGGTGGCACATGCCTGTAATCCCAGTTATTCGGGAGGCTGAGGAAGGAGGATCGCTTGAACGCGGGAGGTGAAGGCAGCAGTTAGCTGAGATTATGCCACTGCATTGCAGCCTGAGTGACAGAGAGAGACTGTCTCAAAAAAAAAAAAAAAAAGGTTTTCAGAATAACCTTAATTTTGTGGTTGGGAAATCTGCAAGTGCAATGAAGAACCGTGATACACTTAATTTACAAGGAAAAAAAATTACTTTGTTTCAACTCTTCATTCCCTGAGAACTTAGTTTTTACCCTTTACTCAATCATCTCCCTAATCCCAAAGATTCAAAAGCTTCTTGAATACAACTTTTCAGCAATTCAGTCTAGTTAAAGTAATCTTCAGAAAGTCATCTACTAAAAGGGCTTTGTGGTTGGGGCAAGTTGGAACAATTACATTCAAATATCACCAGGACTGAAATAGAGACCAAAGACACAGCCCAAGCACACAGGCTTCCAGGGCTGAGAGAGGTCTAATGAAATGTCCTTTATGTTGGAGCTCTAAGAATAAGCAAAGTCTGCATTTTGAATGGCCTGAAAATACTGTGAAAGCAAACAAACTAAAAAAACAAACTAACAAAAAACTGTTTGGAGACTCTCAAGTACGTGTGTGTGGAAAGTCTGAGGAAACTAAGGTGGGAAGAGGCCACGAAGAGGCAGAGCACAGAGGAGTGTTCGGGCAGCGTCACTCAGCATGATGGTGCAGTACTTGGACAGCATCAGGAAGGAGCTGCATAAACAAATTAAAAGGCTTGAAAGTTGGCATAAGTGAGACAGAACCCGGGTGATCCAGAAACTGCACAAGAGCCTAATAGAAACTCATAATTACGGGATCAAGTAGGCTTCTGTGAAGAGTCTAGGACAAGACTATTTGCTAAAGATAAGTCTTATAAAATGCATTATACAGGCCGGGCGCGGTGGCTCACGCCTGTAATCCCAGCACTTTGGGAGGCTGAGGCAGGCGGATCACGAGGTCAGGAGTTCAAGACTAGCCTGGCCAACATGGTGAAACCTCATTTTTACTAAAAATACAAAAAAAAAATTAGCTGGGCATGGTGGCACACACCTGTAATCCCAGCTACTGGGGAGGCTGAGGTAGGAGAATCGTTTGAGCCTGGGAGGCAGACGTTGCAGTGAGCTGAGATCGCGCCATTGCACTCCAGCCTGGGCATGACAGGGTGAGACTCTGTCCCCCCCAAAAAAAAGAAAAAGAAAAAGAAAAATAGGCATTGCACAATTTGGGAACCAGATGCTGAAGAGCAACTGTTATCCATGGGCTGAAGGGTGTGAGAGAATTTGTGTGGCATAGAAGTGAGAGATATGTACTTGAAACAGGAAGGAGTTACAGCTTGAGACTTGGGACCCTGGGCAACGCAGGCAGCAGCAGTGCTATGCTGTGGCCTGGGCCACCCAGGGACAATTAAATAGGCATATGGCATCAGAAACTGATTTTTCTTTTCTTGTCTTTTCTTTTTTTTTTAGATGGAGTCTTGCTCTGTCACCCAAGCTGGAGTGAAGTGGTGTGATCTTGGCTCACTATAACCTCTGCCTCCTGGGTTCAAGTGATTCTCCTGCCTCAGCCTCCTGAGTAGCTGGGATTACAGGCGCCCACCACCGCACCAGGCTATTTTTGTATTTTTAGTAGAGACATGTTTCACCATGTTGGCCAGACTGGTCTTGAACTCCTGACCTCAAGTGATCAGCCTGCCTCAGCCTCCCAGAAGTCCTGGGATTACAGGCATGAGCCACTGCGCCTGGCCTGTTTATTTGTCCTCATGGTAATATAACTCTATTACAGCATTTTTCTAAGCATTAGATGTTCTCTCCTGTCCCCTCGCCAGTGACACCTAAATGATGGATTTGTCTGAGGAAAAAAATGAAAAAAAGAAATGCTAGTTTGAATTAATTTTTTAATGCAAGCAAAAATAAGGAAAGTCAGTCACCCCACCATCCCTGCCAAAAACTTCGTTGTTATTTGAAACATAATTACAAGCAAAATGGGCAATGGAATGCTGTCTTATTTTCTGCATGTGTATGTGTATATCATATTTTGTATGCATATGTATGTATATGCACAAATATATTATCTATATAGATACATAATATATAGAGAGATATATTTAGGAGAGCTACAGCAGTATGAGTGGTTTGATAATAAGAAGGCTTAAATGAAAAACATTATGAAAGCTAAAAATAAATTGTTCAGCAAAGTTGCCTTTTATCTTTTATTTCTCATTTTCGTAATACTATCCTATTAAAAATGCAGGAAACCGGCTGGGTGTGGTGGGTCACGCCTGTAATCCCAGCATTTTGGGAGGGCGAGGCAGGGAGACTGCTTGAGCCCAGGAGTCTGAGATCAGCCTGGGCAATATAGCAAGACCTTTTCTCTACAAAAAATTAGCTGGGGCCGGGCGCGGTGGGTCACGCCTGTAATCCCAGCACTTTGGGAGGCCGAGGCAGGTAGATCACAAGGTCAGGAGATTGAGACCATCCTGGCTAACACAGTGAAACCCCGTCTCTACTAAAAATACAAAACAATTAGCCGGGCGTGGTGGCAGGTGCCTGTAGTCCCAGCTACTGGGGAGGCTGAGGCAGGAGAATGGTGTGAACCTGGGAGGTGGAGCTTGCAGTGAGCGGAGATTGCACCACTGCACTTCAGCCTGGGCGACAGAGTGAGACTCCACCTTAAAAAAAAAAAAAAAAAAATTAGCTGGGCGTGGTGACATGTACCTGTAGTCCCAATTACTTGAGAGGCTGAGGCAGGAGAATTGCTTGAGCCCAGGAGGTCGAGGGTGCAGTGAGCCATGATTGCACCACTCCAGCCTTGGTGACAGAGTGAGACCTTGTCTCAAAAAGAAAAAAAGCAAGAAACATACAAATCTGAAAAGGCATATTCCTGATAACAAGATGAAAATAAGAAGGCCTTAACAGGTTATATTTACACTAAGAATGTAAAATGGCCAGATCAGATCAGCTCACTTAAAAAGTCTTTCCTGGCTGGGATTACAGGCATGAGCCTGTAATCTTTGGGAGGCCGAGGTGGGAGGATCACTTGAACTCAGGAGTTAGAGACCAGCCTGGGCAACATAGCTAGACCTTGTTCCTACAAAACAAGTTAAAAATTAGCCAGATGTGGTGGTGCCTGCTGTAGTCCCAGCTACATGCTGAGGTGGGTGGATCACTTGAGCTGGGGAGGTGGAGGTTGCAGGGAGCTGTGATTATGCCACTGCACTCCAGCCTGGGTGACAGAGCAAGACCCTGTCTCAAAAAAAAAAAAAAAAAAAAAAAAAAATCCTTCCCTTGAACAAAAAACTATTGTTTAGATGTCATAATTCCTTATTAAATGGATGCTTCTACATAACTGAATGAGATTCTCTGGGAGTTTATGTGTTTCTAAGTGTGGAAGACTTTTAGACATGAACATAGGATGTTATGTTTCTTCACTAACAATATATCCTTAACTCTTGGTGCTGGACGCAGAAAATTTCTGGAATAAAGTGTATTTGCAGCATTTGACAACAATCAGTTAAGCATGCCAGACACGGGAGCAGAAATGAGTTAATAAAATACTCTTAATTTTTCTTGATAGGAATATCACTGACAGTGCCTTTTTGCCTAACAGTGATAGCCCTATGCGATTATTTTATATGAGTTCCTTGTTAGCAAACTAAAAGTACTTTTAAATATTCTGCATAATTTTTGATGTCCAGGATAATAGGCACCTACTACCATGCTGTAAAATTTATAATTTTAAGTATATATTTACAAATACATGTATATACATATATGTATATATGTATGTATGTCAAGTTTAGTTGGGTAAATATCCCAAAGTAAATTCAGCTCAGTTATTGAGGGGTTTGTTTTGCTTTGTTGTTTTGTAAGAGATATGAAATTATATTAACTGAAAGATAATCTTCCTGCTCTTGTGTTTACAAACCAACCTGATTACGACGCACTGACTAGTTTTGGGCTGCACAATTTCATAGAGGCTATGGATGTAAATGCTTGCAAGAGAGGACTGGCAATGAGCTATTTAGACAACACACCCCAGAGGATCGGCTTGGGTCCTGAGATGATTTAGACAGGAGGAGAAAAGGATAAGGAATGGTGATATAGCAAAGGACAGCAGACAATTATCCGAGGGCGTTACTGATGAGGATGGCAATTCCTTGTCATTGGTCCACTGTTTGCTATGTATTGGAATTTGTATGTAATTTTCTCTAGCTTGCTTTAAAAATAGAATCATCAATGCCTCATGAGACAGACAAAGGAGAGCCTGCCGTGGAATCTAGAGATAAACCTGAATGACCTTTCAAGGTTCCCTTTCTACACCAATGTGAAAACACAGAATAAGATACCAGCATTACTCAACAGACCTGGTTACAATAAGTATGAATTACAATGCAAGAACGTATGTCATTTCTTACACAAACAGTGAGGCAGGCTATCTGATATTGCTTTAAGAAATTATGTGGTCAGCTGAAGCAAGATGACACATGTAAATCTTTTTCATAAATCAAAGTATAAGCTCACAAATTCTCCATATAAATAGCCTCAGGAGGGGCTGCTCTGATGAAATTGAAAATGTCTCTTCCATATGTGCAGTTTTAGGCTTTATAACATTTAAAGAAAATATTCTAAAAGATAAAGTTGGCATGTAAAAGCACGGGGAAAGGAATCAGCAATGATCAGAGCAAAACAATTCTAGAAGGCATCTTAATTTTCATATGGCTCATTTGCATTTGAAACACTGTGAATTCCTATCTCACTTGTACAAAATGTGTACATATTAAATTACTTTGCACTTGAAAGAACATTTTCCTAAATGTTTGGAAGATGATCAAATTTTAACTGGAGGACTTGTTTTCTTCCATCAGGTGTGGGGGAGATGTGGCTTCCTGGTATGAGAGGCAACAGTTGATTCTAATAGCAGAACAAGACAAAAATAAGAAAGTAAATTGAAAACAATTCTTATTTGTACAATTTGAGTTAAAGATGATAAGACAAGTGGATACTTATGGTACAAAGATGTCAAAATACATCAATTTTAAAATTAAGTAGGGTTACCTTTCCAAAAATTGAGATTTTCTGATACCTGAAAATTAGGTTCTATTACTTATTCTAGGATACCCATGGATATACTATTATTTATTTCAGTACACTTAATCTGAGTATCTAGTCAATGTTTAAGAGGTAGATGCCCATCAGCTACTATACAATAATTCCAGGAGACTACACAATACCCATCTCAAAACAAATTTTTGTTTTTTGGACACTATTTCACTCTGTTTCAGTCTGTTGCACAGGCTGGAGTGCAATGGTGCAATCTCAGCTCACTGCAACCTCTGCCTCCAGATTCAAGCGATTCTTGTGCCTCAGCCTCCCAAGTAGCTGAGATTACAGGCATGAGTGTCCATGCCCAGCTAATTTTTGTATTTTTGATAAGGACAGAGTTTCACCATGTTGGCCAGGCTGGTCTTGAACTCCTGACCTCAGGTGATCCACCTGCCTCAGCCTCCCAAAATGCTGGGATTACAGGTGTGGGCCACCCACCTGGCCTCAAATTTTTAATAGCTAGGATATTGGCAGAACAGCAAAGGCTTAAAACCTCTTTACTATCAACTTTAAACATTATTTAGTCTTAAGGAAACCACAATGAATGAAAATATTTTTTTCTGTAACATTTGTTTTCTGCCATGGTAAAATGTCTAGGATTCAGGTGTGTCTTCTGAAGGAAAACCAGAACTTGAAAGGCACCCCTGTCTTTCTCTTGGTCTGGCTCCCTGGGCACCTCACTTGAAGGAGAGAGCTGTTTAGAACTGGCCTTATGTGTGTGCTACAGGGGGGCCCACCATGCAAAGGTGGATAGGATGCAGTTTACAGAGGATGGAGAACATGGGCTGATCTCTGTAAATGAGCATCTCTAGGTACATGCTGCCCTTTGTGTTTCTTTCCTTTTGTTGCCTCTGGGCCTTTTGGAAGGCCTTGTTCACAGTCCCTGATCTGTATCAGCTGGGTTATAGGCATTGAACGAAAGGGTAGCACAGCTGTAAACCCAAGCAGAGAGATGGATCTGTGAAGGGAGAGCAGCACCCAACCCCCTCGAGGCAAGGCGAGGTCCGTGACAGATTCCCAGGAAGACAGTGACTAGGGGAACCAGGAGGCCAGCGGGGGCAGCTGACACTGTGCACCCTCCCAGGCCAGTGTGGGGGGGAATCCGGTGAGGGGTTTTTTTTTTTTTTTTGAGATGGAGTCTTGCTCTTGTTGCCCAAGCTGGAGTGCAGTGGCATGATATTGGCTCACTGCAACCTCTGTCTCCAGGGTCTAAGCGATTCTCCTGCCTCAGCCTCCCAAGTAGCTGGGATTACAGGCACCCACCACCACACCAGGCTAATTTTTGTATTTTTAATAGAGACGGGGTTTTGCCATGTTGGCCAGGCTGGTCTCGACCTCCTAACCATGTGATCCGCCTGCCTCGGCCTCCCAAAGTGCTGGGATGTTTTTATTTATTTATTATTTATTATTATTTTTGAGACAAAGTCTCACTCTGTTGCCCAGGCTGGAGTGCAGTGGCACAATCTCAGCTCACTGCAACTCTGCCTCCCAGGTTCAAGCAAGTCTCCTGCCTCAGTCTCCCAAGGAGCTGGGATGACAGGTGCCCGCCACCATGCCCGGCTAATTTTTGTATTTTTAGAAGAGACAGGGTTTTGCCATGTTGGCCAGGCTGGTCTCAGACTCCTGACTTCAAGTGATCTGCCCACCTTGGCCTCTCAAAGTGCTGGGATTATAGGCGAGAGCCACCACCCCAGCTGAGATGTTTTTAACAGGAGAGTGTCCTTTTACACGCAATTCACGCTGTCTTTCAGATTGCTGCCTCAGCAGTCTTTATTTAATTTTTTTGTTGTTATTTAAGTATAAGCTGCATTGGGCTTGATTTGCAAACATATAATAGTAAAAGGTAAAATGGCCCATGTAATCAAAATATGGATACCTGGAGATTTTGGATACACAGAACTGATTTAACATTTCATCTTCCTGATTAGTTTGATTTTTCTCTCCCAACAAACTTCTATTTTAACTATGAAAAGGTTGGGAAAAGCCAACACTTTCTTCCTTTATGGAAAACATGCTAATGAGAAGACAGATGACTGAAAATTAGAATCGAAGATGAAAGATTAAGCAAATGCAAACTGTGAAAATTGCTAGCCTCTGATAAATTGGAAATTACCAACTTGGTTTATTATTAGGCAATGTTCGTCTACTTATTTATTTTAATAATATTAAGGACCTTCTATGGGTCAGATACTGTTTTAGGTGCTGGGTTTACAAGGTGAGAAAAAGCCCTGAACCAAAACAAACCTATTTCCATGGAGTTTATGATTTAACTTCAAAGTTTTCTGAAAGCAAGTGAAGGACAGTCACCTGATAAACTGCAGAATTAATATTTGTCATAAGAGTCACCGTACTGTTCTGCAATACTGGCCCATTGGATAGAATTTGTTTCCCAGATGTCTGGGTTTCATTCCTTTGTAGCTGGCAGATCTTGGTTTTGAGAAAAAGCCTAGGAAAGGCAGACTTAGGTGCCTGCCGTGGGTGAAAAGATGGAAGAGTCAAGTTACCTTTATTGCACATCTGGAGGCTACAGAAAGGCACTTGGATTCCTTTGCAATGCTGGCAAAACTCAGTCCTGTTGGAATCAGGACTGATTGTATGAAGTTGTTACATTACGGGTATACGATCTTGTGGGTGGTATATCCAATCAGAGCAGCCAAACAGTTGTGTAACAATTTGATTCAAGTGTGTTTGGAATAAGGTTTTGTAATAATAATCTTGATATTTTCATAGTTCTATGGTTTTATTACATCAATTACCAATATTTATTAAGCTAGACAAATACAACTACACCAGTACAAACGAAAGGTCTTGGTGTCCACCTTGTCTCACTTTGAAAGGCAGACAAACAAAAACAAAAAAGGAAATCTTTTTATAGCACTTTAACTTTTGAGCGGAAGTACCTGCTGGCGTCTGCTGTTTCTTCCTTCATTACGCGCTTTTCTTTTACTTTGGTCCTCGTGAAAAGAATCAAAGTAGGAGCTCTCCAGGAGTTGGGAACAGGTTGATCTGTCATCTGGATTCATCTTCAGACACCCCTTTGGAGGAAGAGAATCACAAAGAAGATATTGAGGGAGGGGCTCATTTTGTTACCATGCCCACAAACTGAGTAATAACTTGTTAGGATAAATACGAGTTTAGAAAATCTTCAAGTTTGTGTATATCAAGTAGTTGGAGCTTGTTAATAGGATTGCTCTTCTTTTTGCTACTTCAAGGTCTTTTGAGGGCAGAATGAATGGATGGTCAGTGTCTCTCTGAAAGAGGCTGCCTGTAGATCTGGTGTTCCCACCAATGACACTGTAAAATCACTACTGAAAGCAAATTGTTTGCAGCAGTCTGCAGAGTGTAGTCCCTGGACTAAAAACATAAGCGTCGCAGGAACTTGCTAGAAACGCGAAGTCTTGGGTCCTACCCCCCGCCTGCCAAAGGGAATCGAAGCACTGGAGGTGCGGCCCGGCAGTTTGTGTTTGACAAGCTCTCTGGGTGATTCCGATGCCCATATGCTCAAGTTTGAGAACATCTGGGTTAAGGAGATGGCTGAGGAAGTGAGAACCTCAGTCATGAGAGTGAACCTAAAACAAGGAGAAATGAATGGACTATATATTCATATAAAAATAACTACAGGCAAGACAGAAAAGGTGACATTATGACCCTTCTATATTTGAGACCATTAGAAGCCTCTAGGTCGGCTTCTGAGAGTGGGGAGCAGTATCACAGCAGAGGGGTCTGTGGCGGTCCTGACACAAAGACGTTTTCTCTGAGAAACACTGATACTCCAGTCAGACAGTGGGACTTTGCCCATCAATAAACACAGATTATGATCCATAAACAGCAGCTTTAAGCCAGACCTGGTGGCTCGTGTCTGTAATCCTAGCACTTCGGGAGGCCAGAGGTCTAGACCAGCCTGGGTAACATAGTGAGACCCCATCTCTCCTACATTTGCATTTTTAAAAGGAGCAGCTTTACAATACCCAGGCACAGATGACCTGACAATTATTGCCTTCCATCCATAAGAGAGAAATAAGGCTCACCACCATCACAAACATTGTTTTGAGACATTCTGAAGCCCAGACAACTGCATTGCCTGAGGCTGCCCCAGCTGGGCACTGCCCTGTGGTGTCTGTTCCTCCCTGACCCCAGCTGACCTCAGATCTCTGAGATCCCTGAAGCTTCCTGCCCGTAAGCAGTATCACCTGGCCCTTGGCGAGGGATCTGATTAGTCCTGTTCTTCAAGAAACAATCCTGCTCAGCAAAACTAGACTTACCTGTCCCTCCATGTCTATTGCCTGGTCCAAGCAAATGACCCCTAATTAATGACCCATGCCATGTATCAACTCCAGCTGCCGAAGCATTCGCCTCAAACCCTAATACTGTCAGGGCTATAACCAGGACAGAAAGACTTTTTTTGTTGTTGTTTTTTTGAGACAAAGTCTCGTTCTGGCTGTCAGCCAGGTTGGAATGCAGTGGCGCCACCTCGGCTTACTGCAAGCTCCGTCTCCCGGGTTTGAGCGATTCACATGCCTCAGCCTCCCAGATAGCTAGAATTACAGGCATGCACCACCATGCTGAGTACATTTTTGTATTTTTAGTAGAGACAGGTTTACCATGTTGGCCAGGCTGGTCTCAAACTCCTGACCTCAAGTAATCTGCCCGCCTCGGCCTCCCAGTGCTGGAACTACAGGCGTGAGCCACTGCACCCTGCCAGAAAGACTATTTTGAATACAAACTGTGATAGTCTCTATTCTTTATCACTCAATTCTGGTTTTTGCTTCCACTGTTCCATTAAAGTGGCTCTCGTTATTAACACCTCTGACCTCTACTTCCATAGCCTTCAACCGATCATGTGTTTTGAATTCTGTCTCCTCAATAGTATTAGACACTACTGACCAAGCCCTCCTTGAAACTTTGTTTCTCTTTGGCTTCTCTAATCTCTCACTTTCCTTGCTCCTCCCTCCTGGCCACTCCTTTTCAAACCAGCCTTTGCTAGTTTACCTTCTTCTCCACGATAGCTGGATAAAGTTCCTCAAGGCCAAATCCTAGCCACCCCTTTTTTTCTCATCTATTCTAGGTTTCTAGGTGATCTCTTTGCTGCCGATGGCTTCAATTATCAAAGTTTTCCAGAAATTTCCACATCCACAATTCCATTCCAGACCTCCCCTAGGAACTCCAGACCTGCAGGCGCAACTGCTTACTTAACATCTGTCTCAAGGTCACTGTTGTGGGTTGAACTGTGTCGCCGCAAAAATATATATGTTGAAGTTCTAACTCCCAGTACCTCAGAATGTTACCTTATTTGGAAATAAAGTCTTTGCAGAAGTAATTTGTGAAGGCAAGGTCATAATGGCATGGAGTAGACCCCCTAACCCAATTATAATTGGTTTCCTTATAAGAAGAGGGAAGATGGTGTAGACAGACACACAGAGTGAATGCCATACTCTGATGGAGGTAGAAATTGGAGTTACATTGTCACAAGTCAAAGAATGCCTGGGGCTACCAGAAGCTGGAAGAGGCAAGGAAAGACCCTTGCCAAGAGTTTTCAGAGAAAGCCCGGACCTGCCAATACCTGACAAACCAATACAGGCACTGTATCCTTGCCACCTCTTCTACTTTATTCCCCATATATCAGTCATAATTAAGTCCTATCAGTTTTCCTTTCAAATATATCTTGAATTTATTCACGTTTAATTTAATTTAATTTTAGAGATGAGGTTTCACTGTCGCCCAGGCTAGAGTGCAGCGGCACAATCATGGCTCACTGTGGCCTTCAACTCCTGCGCTCAAGCAATCCTCCCACCTTAGCCTCCCAAGTAGCTGGGACTAAAGGCAAGTGCCACCATTTCCGGATAATTTTTATTTAATTTTTGTGTTTTGTAGAGATAGGGTCTGACTTTGTCCAGGCTGGTCTCAAATGCCTGGGCTCGAGTGATCCTCCTGCCTTGGACTCCCAAAGTGCTAAGATTACAGGCATGAGCCACCATGCCCAGCCTCATTCACTCATTCATATTTTTATATGGGCTTTCAAAACTATTGAAATCTAGTCCGTCACTAAATACCTATGAATCTTCATTTTAAAGAACATTTTTAGATTCTTAGAAGACACTACTAATGCTGAGCTCCCTCCATGGAGTCTGAGCTGGAACAATATCCTGCTTGATTAGTTCTGAAGCACTAAGATGAACTGAGTAGAATTGAGGCTTTTGAGCCTTTGCCTGCCTGGATTAATAACTTTCTGTATATCAAGAAGGTGACGAATTAATCAGAGGTGTTCCCTGTAGACATGCTCCTAACCCAGAAAACGTCTTGAAGATGGGAGATGAGAAATCAAAACTGTAAAGTCCAAGTCAGGATCCTTTTCTTAAGTCCGAACTTCAAATTTCACAGAAAACGCTCCAATAAAATTTCTAATAGTCTATAGTCTCCTTCTTGATGACTAGCTTAAGCTGATATAGTGATAGGATAGTCATGACTATGGAAATAAATGAGTAATAAATAAGAAAGATTGTGCTCATGGTCTCATTTTAAACCTAATGAAGAGAACACAAAAGACCTGCCATAGATTGGCCACTGCACGCCACCGCTCTCCTTGACTCCACCACTGCCCAATACGTCATCCACCTGAGCAGTTCCCTGCATAGGTTATGATTCGGTCCCATGGGATAAACACCAGTTATGGCAGCCAGTACTTATTTGCTGTTAAAGATGTCCTGGGCCGGGTACAGTGGCTCACGCTTGTAATCTCAGCACTTTGGGAGGCCGAGGTGAGTGGATCATGAAGTCAGGAGATGGAGACCATCCTAGCCAACATGATGAAACCCCGTCTCTATTAAAAATACAAAAATTAGCCCAGTGTGGTTGTGCGTGCCTGTAGTCCCAGCTACTCGGGAGACTGGGGCAGGTGAATCGCTCGAACCCAGTTGGCGGAGGTTGCAGTGAGCAGAGAACTCCAGCCTGGGAGACAGAGCAAGACTCTGTCTCAAAAAAAAAAAAAAAAAAAAAAAAAAAAAAGGATGTCTCAACTGCAAAGAATTAAAGTGTTCTTTCCATGGGGCAGGGGTCTATAAGATAGGGTGTGACCCATGTAATAGCACAATCCTTGATGCACTGAGAGGATTCTTGGGCCTTACGTTGATACTTATGGGTCTAAATAAAATAGTTGAGTAACAAACCTAGCTTCATCTAAAAGCGTAGGCAGCCAACCAGGGCTCTTCATCTTTGGAGATGAGGACGGGGAACTTGTCCTACATCTTGCAGTTTTCATGCCCCAGAGTTGCCTTCGAGGGAACCACAGGTTGTCTCTAGCTTCCATCTGAGAATTGGCTGGGCTTGCAGCGCTTGACGCCTCCCTTCTCCCTTGCAGGTTTTGCTAAATTGCAGGTGGGTCAGAACCACCTGTCAAGAACAAGGTCAGGGAATTGGGCTTCTAGGACAGGATCTGCTGAGTGCTGGATGAAGGCAGGTCCAGGCAGTAAGACAGGACAGATGGCAGCTGAGGTCAGGTGGAGCAATGGTATGGGGAGTCTGAGAGCACAGGGGTATCTGGCTCTGACTCTCAGGAGGACTCAGGTTGAAGTACTCCAGCACTCTGGATAGCGCCATGGCAGTGATCAGCACTCCCACAAAGGCTGGTCTACAAAGTTGACTCTAGGTCATCCAAATGGCCCCACTGTCTAGATCAGATGAGTCTTAAACTGAGTTGTTTATCGTAATCACCTAAGGGCATGTTTAAAGATACACATGCCAAGGTCCCACTCATGAAAATTCTCCTTCTCAATCTGAGGCTAGATACCGGAATCCGTATTTTTCAAAAGCTCCCAGACCATTCAGATGAATAGCCACATTTGGAAGACACTGCTGTAGACAGAACTTAATTGACTGTTAAAGATAGATACCCTCTCCGGTATCCTCATACCCTTTGTCCAATGAGCTTTTGGTATATACAATGGATGGGAGGGTCACATACCTTCTAGTGTGGCTTCATTTGGTCAAGCATGAATGGCAGACTAGGCAGAGGTAAGTTTCTTCTGCTTTTTATTTGAATCTGTCCTTGGTTTGACCATCTCTTTTAGGCCTAGTGCAGGAGCTAGGTCTGGTATCTGCATGGCTCTGATTTTGCCTCATCTACTAATGTTAATAGATATGTTAGAACAATGACTGCTTTAACCACTGATGTCCCTTTAACTGGGATTATTTTACAGTTCTTTATCATTTTCAATGACTACATCCTATTTTGGCATTATTTAATCCACTGTCCACCCCTCCTCAAATTACCAGCTTCAGTCATTACAATTTATAGCTAATAAGAGTTATAATTGATTCTTAAGTACCTTCATGAAGTTCAGAGCCACAGGATGAGCATCTGAGAACTTTTCCTCAAGAGTTTCCTGAAAAACAAAGTTAAAACATTCAATATTACATAACAACAAAGTAATTGTGTGTGTGTGTGTGTGTGTGTGTGTGTGTGTATGTGTGTGTATTTACAGACAGGGTCTCCCTCTGTCTCTCAGGCTGCAGTGCAGTGGCATGATCATAGCTTACTCTAACCTTGAACTCCTGGGCTCAAGAGATTTTTCCACCTCAGCCTCCTGAGTATCTAGGACTATAGGTGGGTGCCACCACACCCAGCTAATTTTTAATTTTTTTGTAGAGATGGGGTCTTGCTATGTTGTATGAGCTGGTCTCAAACTTCTGGCCTCAAGTGATTCTTCTGCCTCAGTCTCCCAAAGTGCCGGGATTATAGGGGTGAGCCAGCTCACCTGGCCTATATTTTGAATATATTAGTAATAACAACACTTTAAAGAAAGACCCTCTAGTAGGTTAGATAATTCATTTTCAATATATTTTTTTTAAAATCATGCTTTTATATAATTGTACACTGTAAAGATCTGAAATACATAAAATGAAGTTATTTTCTTAATTTCACAATGTCTTGCAGTTGATGCTGGGTAAATGTGGGTCCCAAATGCTCCCATCTGAAATCCTACAACAGTGCCGTAAAATCTGTGCCTGATCTACTTCTAAGGATGTTTTCGAGTATTCACGAAAATACCTTGGACTACATGCATAAGAACATGACAGAAACCAAAAGAATGAAAAACACAACATTCAGAATGATGAGGAAGGAAGGGGATGGAGATGCCTGAAAGATAACGGTGGGAAACTTAAGACACTTAAATTTGTTGTAGTTTATTCTTTAAACACATGTTATATAAATATTCCTTTGTAACGTTTAACCTTGCAGTTCAACCTTTAACCTTGTATTACATTTGTTAAAGGTTTTAACAAAGACAATAAAAAAGAAAACCAGTATATAAATCAAGATATTATATGAAATAATTGATTTAAAATGAACAGGGTATCTAGAGATGGTTGGGACCATTTGGAGCTCAGGTTATTTGGACAGTTCACACCTATCATAGATCATGTTCTGCCTTCTCAGAGTTTTTCCCATCCGCACATGGTTCTGACTCCAGCACAGCTGGAGTGTGGACACACGCTTTTCCCGGCAGTTTTTTCTTTTATAGGCAGATTCTGGACCATATGGAGCTTTAAAGAGCATAGCCTGAACTTAGGTAACACACACAGGAAGTCAATGTCTTCAGAGAGTAAGAGAGAGAGTCAAGTGGTCATTGATATGTTTTCAAATAAAGGCAAGAGTAGAGAGATGATCCCTGTGATCTGGAGTTTAATGAGTACCATGGGGACCATTTTGTAGAACAACCACCCGTGTAAAAATATGTGTGGTGAAAAAAGCTTTTGATTGATTTGAGTTTTGTTTTACAAGCTGAAAAAATTTTTAAATGCATTTTTGTCAAAATAAATAAGACTACTATAAGTAGTCTTTATGAGAATATAACTATTTAAGGGAAAATCCTCCTAAGGCTTTGACCAATGGATTAAAAGTATGTCGTATCTAAGATACTAAATATACTTTCACTTTAAATTTAACATTAATTTTTGAATAGTTAAGACAAGTAAACATTTAAAGCATTTTTCCTGGCTCATTGTAATGTAGTTTTTATATAGTTTCTTCAATATGTGAGATATGGTTTGGCTCTGTGTCCCCACGCAAATCTCATCTCAAATTATAACCCCCATGTGTCGAGAGAGGGAGGTGATTGGATCATGACGGGGGTTCCTCCATGCTGTTCTCATGATAGTAAGGGAGTTCTTACAAAATCCGATGGTTTCAAAAGTGGCAGTTTTCTCTTGTGCCCTCACCTCTCCTGCCGCCTTGTGAAGAAGGTGCCTGCTTCCCCTCCTGCCATGATTGTAAGTTTCCTGAGGCCTCCCCAGCCATGCAGGACTGTGAATCAATTAAACCTCTTTCCTTTATAAATTACCCAGTCTCAGGGAAGTTCTTTACAGCAGTGTGAAAACAGATTAATACACTGTGTCAATATGTCACAAGAAGCCAAAACCACAAATATTAAAAAAGAAACAGCCCGGGCATGGTGGCTCATATGAGTAATTCCAGCATTGGGGAGGCTGAGGTGGGAGGATCACTTGAGTCTCGGAGGTTGAGGCTGTAGTGAGCCATGACCTTGCCACTGCACTCCAGCCTTGGCGATAGAGTGAGATATCATCTCTAAATAAATAAATAAATAAATAAATAAGAAACAACTACCTCTTTAAAGAAAGCAGCAACACAAGTAATAAAATATTCAAGATAGAGCAGTTTACCATATCTTCTGGTTCAGGTATACTGATGCCGTGGAAAAACCGGTTACTTTTAAAGATTGATTGATGTCTTGGGATTAATTTTCCTGTAAAATACAAACCACACAATTCATCATAAATTTGGCAAAGAATAATCAAGTGTTTAAATGGTTAATGCCTGAAGGCCAGGTGTGGTGGCTCACACCTGTAATCCCAGCACTTTGAGAGGCCAAGGCAGGTGGATCACTTGACGTCAAGAGTTCGAGACCAGCCTGGTCAATATGGCGAAACCCCGTCTTTACTAAAAATACAAAAAATTAGCCGGGTGTGGTGGTCAGTGCCTGTAATCCCAGCTACTCAGGAGGCTGAGGCAGGAGAATCGCTTGATCTTGGGAGGCGGAGGTTGCAGTGAGCTGTGATCATGGCTCTGAACTCCAGCCTGGGCGACAGAGCAAGACTCCATCTCAAAACAAAAACAAAACAAACAAAAAAGACAAAAAACAGGGTTAATGCCTGAAGTGCAGGTGTGAAAGAAATATTGTGCCTGATTGGTCCCTCCAGAGATGAGAGGAATGGGATTCTGCAGATGTATGCCTTCTCAGGTAAGGGCAGTTCTCCCAAACCAGTCTCTTCATCACATGTGGTCACCATTCAGCCTCCATCAAAAGGTGAAGACTGGGCGCGTTGGCTCACGCCTGTAGTCCCAGCACTTTGGGAGGCCGAGGGAGGTGGATCACAAGGTCAAGAGATCGAGACCATCCTGGCCAACATGGTGAAACTCTGTCTCTACTAAAAATACAAAAAATTAGCTGGGCGTGGTGGTGCACACACCTATAGTCCCAGCTACTTGGGAGGCCGAGGCAGGAGAATTGCTTGAATTTGGGAGGCAGAGGTTGCAGTGAGCCAAGATCGCACCACTGTACTCCAGCCTGGTGACAGAGTGACAGTCCATCTCAAAAAAAAAAAAAAAAAAGACAAGGTGAGAGAATGGTACTACAGTCTTTATACACATTATCTCATTTAATCTCATAAATGAGATTTGATGAGACTTCATCTCATAATCTCAAGACAATAGTTGTTATTTATTTATTTTGAGACAGGGTCTCTCTCTGTTGCCAAAACTGGAGTGCAGTGGCACAATCATGGCTCACTTCAGCCTCGATCTCCCAGTCTCAAGCAATCCTTCACTTCAGCCTCCCGAGTAGCTGGGACTACAGGTATGCGCCATCATGTCCAGCCAATTTTTAAAAATTTTTTGTAGATATGGGGTCTGCCTATGTTGTCCAGGTTGGGGTAGTTGCTATTTTAAATCCCTATTGTTCCAATGAGGAAAATGAGGTTCAGAGAAGTGTAATAACTTGCCCAAGATCACACAGTAACCTAAGAGATCCAGGATTTCAACTCAGATCTGTAATGCAAATTTCCAGAATCTTTTCGGGGAATGAATCAGACAAAGTGTGGCCGGTAGTGGTACTCTACCCCACATTTTTCATGCTGCAGAATTTTCCATAATATGTTGGAACTGAACAGGGAACTGTCCAGCAGCCATGCTGCCAGGAGAGCCCGTGGGAAGGAATTAACAAATTCTCATTTTATGTGTAGAGGTATCACTTTCTTTGCATCCATGCTGTTGGCATGAAGCTGTGGCTCACTTTTCAGGTTATGCTGACACATAATGAAAGCTCACGAAAGAAACCCTTGGAGTCCCATTCCTATTCTGCACTTACCTGGCTACGCAACTTCAGGCCAATCATGGAAGCTCCCTAAGCCTCTGTTTCCTCATTTATAACATAGGCACAATTAAAAACATTGTAACTTCCTTAACAGGTTTTTCTTAAGACTGAAAAAGATGATGCGTATGAAAGTAAATTGTAAATTCTAAAGTACCATACAAAGAAGATGTGTTAACATTATTCGAAACTTCAGCAGCCACTCCTAATCAGGAAGTAAAATCAGACTCTTAAAGCTCTCCGGCAGGGGTCCGCCAAACTGTGGCCTGCAGGCCAAATCTGGCCTAGCGCCTGTTTCTGTACAGCTTGTGACCTCAGAATTGGTTTTACATTTTTAAGCAGACTTTTTAAAGTCAAAAAAGATTTTTTGATATTTTGTTGCATGTGAAAACCAGAAGAAATTAAAATTTCTGTGTCCATAAAGTTCTATGGGAACACAGCTATGTTCATTTGTTGACACGCTGTGTATGGCTGCTTTTGCACTACAATAGCAGAGTTGGGGAATTGCAACAGAGACTCTACAGTCTGCATAACCTAAAATATTTACCATCTAGCTTTTTATGGAAACAATTTGCTGATTCCTGCTCTAGAATAAAGGGGGGAAACCTCTTTTACAGTGGACAGAAATTGCACTTGATCGAATATCTTACACTAGGCTCTCAGCAGCTGACTCATATCCTTATCCCTATCTTAGTCTGATATGGAAAGTAAATGTATAGTTTATTCCACGGCTAATTGACTTTTCCTGGAAAGGGGTCTGAGAGCTCCCTGAGAGGAGTTAGGGTTCTACATGTTTAGAAAAGGATTGGGCTTTGGCTACAACCCAGACCCCAGAACAACCATCCTAAGTTTAAAGTTTGAAGAAGCAATAAAACTCTTGTGTTATTTATTTATTTATTTATTTATTTATTTATTTATTGTAACATATGAATGCTATGAATGCTATAACAATTCAGCACCTCTGTCGCCATAAAATGCAATTCATACCTAGTGTTCTGATTATCAGATAAAGTTGGTCCACATCTGATTTTCCAGGCCACAGTGGCTGGCCTGTCAGCAGCTCTGCAAAAACGCAACCAGCAGCCCATATATCTACTGAAGAACCATACTGAGTATCTCCCACAAGAAGTTCAGGAGCTCGGTACCATCTCGTAGCTACATAATCGGTGTAGGTATCTCCTGGAACTGCAAATGCATCAATCAGATCAGGTAAGTCAATTCTCCCAACATGTGAACTGCTCCCAAGAACACATCAGGCATTCAGCCTTCAATAACCATCAGAGGCCATGATACTCTTAACAGTTAATGCAGTGAGGCACTAATTGAGGAAACAGTTACTGTGCATTGAGATAGTAAATTTGACATTCAAGAGCACTTTAGGTAATTAACATCTATTATTACTCCAAACTGGGGCAGCGGGTGGTGTGGTAGTGATGGGGGGAATGAGAATTTCTGGAGTGTGACTTTAAGTCTAAACTGCATTGTTGGTTTCCATTTTATCATCAGCATGGGGGTTGTTGGTGTTGAATTGCGTCCCCTCAAAAGATAGGTTGAAGTTCTAATTCTTGGTACTGTGAATGTGACCTTATTTGGAAATATGGTTTTTGCAGATGTAATTAATTAGTTAAGATGAGGTCATACTAGATTAGGGTGGACTCTAAATCCAATGACTTGAATCCTTACAGGGACACAGAGACACGGAGAATGCCATGTGATACTGGAGGCAGAGACTGGAGTGATGCAGTTGCAAGCACAGGAATGCCAAGGTTTCCCACATCCACCAGCAGCTGGGATAGAGGCCAGGCATGGTGGCTCACGCCTGTCATCCCAGCACTTTGGGAGGCCGAGGTGGGCAGATCACTTGAGGTCAGGAGTTAGAGACCAGCCTGGGCAACATGGCAAAACCCTGTCTTTACTAAAAATACAAACATCAGCCAGGCATGGTGGTGTGTGCTTGTCGTCCTAGCTACTTGGGAAGCTGAGGCAGGAGAATCACTTGAACTTGTGGAGGCTGCAGTGAGGCGTGATCGCGTCACTGCACTCCAGCCTGGGCGATAGAGTAAGACTCTGACTCACACATATACAAAAAAGAAGCTAGGCTAGAGACATGGAAGGGTCCTCTCCTAGAGCCTTCCGAGGGAATGTGGCTCTGCTGAAACCTTGATGGCAGATGTCTGGCCTCCAGAATTGTGAGAAAATAGATTTCTGTTGTTTTCAGCCACTCAGATTGTGGTAATGTATCATGGCAGCCCCAGGAAACTAATGCAGCACTAGACAATTGCATAAATTAATTTTTCTATCCAAATGTGTTACTTAGGACCCATGGTGACAAAGACCTCAATTTGACTGCTTGTACTATGTATATGAGTCCTCTGTGGTATGTGATAGACAGATGACAGAGAGCTGGGTGCACCCTCACTGCCCAGCCCTGCCCTATGCCACAGGTGTGGACTGCCTGGACCCAAGACACCTGCCTCCAAGTGGATGGAAGCCAATCCCAGAATCATCACACGACCCTGAACGATAAGGAGCCCTACAAATGCATGACAGAGGAGGAACAATTGGAAAGCAGCCCGGCTTGCAGAGATGAGGTAATGCGCGATTCTCCTTAGTAAAGTCGTTGGGTAGCCCCAAAGATGCTGCCACAAAAGGCAGCTCAGAAAATAGCGGCTGCAGCTCTGGTCAGAGAACAGTCCTCATAGGAGTGGGAAAGGGAAATAATCTTACTTGCTCATTGCTCTTTTATAAAATTATATCAACTTTTAAAGGATAAAAATTAATAAATACTGTAATGGAAATTTGCGAAATGGAGAAGAAGAAGGAAAATAACAACCACTAGCAATTGTCACTATTCACAGGCTATGTCAGCTGTTTTATTTGTTTGGAACATTTTTCAACTTAAAAGTCATATATGCTCACTGCAGAGAATATGAAAAAATACATAAGAAAACAGAAAGAAGGTAAATAAACCCAAGTTTTACCACCCAAAGGTACCTTGTGTTAATCTTTTGGTGTATTTCGTTTGAGTCTTTTTCTTATTTACAGCATAGTTTTGAGTGCTTTTTTGGAGGCAGGGTGATGCTGCCCCCCAGGCTAAAATGCAGTGAAACAATCATAGCTCACTGCAGCTTTGAACTCCTGGGCTCACGTGATCTTCCTGCCTCAGCCTCCTGAGTAGCTGGGACTATAGGGGCTTGAAATTATGCCTGGCTAATTAAAAAAAAAAAAAAAATTAAAAATTTTTTTTTTTTATTTTTATAGATGGAGGTCTCACTACGTTGCTCAGGCCGGTACAAGTACTTTTGATCATACTACATATAAAATTTTGTGTCCTTATTTTTTTCATTGAATTCTATGCATTTGTCATGTTATTATAAACTCTTCCTAAACTTAGTTTAATGGCCACGTAACAGCTTACCAAGTGCATACGCCAGGATTTACTTTACCTTCCCCAGATTGTCCAACATTTTGTCCCTACAAATAACACCACATTATTTTTCTATAATCCCTGCACAAAACTTTTTCTGTATTTAGAATTATTTCAAGGCCAGGCACACTAGCTGACGCCTATAACCTCAGCACTTTGGGAGGCCAAGGCAGGCGGATTGTGTGAGCCCAGGAGTTTGAGGCCAGCCAGAGCAACATGGTGAAATCTTGTCTCTACAAAAATAAAAATAAAAAAAATCAACCAGGCATAGTAGCACGTACCTGTGGTCCCAGCTACATGGGAGGTTGAGGCAGGAGGATAGCTTGGGCCTAGGAGGTTGAGGCTGCAGTGAGCTATGATCATATCACTGCCCTCCAGCCTGGGCTACAGAGCGAGACTCCATCTCTTAAGAAAAAAAAAAAAAAAAAAAGGAGCTGGGCTTTGTGGCTCATGCCTGTAATCCCGGCACTTTGGGAGGCTGAAGGGGATGGATCACTTGAGCCTAGGTATTCGAGACCAGTCTGGGCAAAATGGCGAAATCTCTCTCTCTAAAAAAAAAAAAAAAAGAATTATTCCTTTAGAATGATTTTCTATGAGTGGAATTATTAGATTGAGAGGTGTAAACATCACTTATAAAATTATTATTATTATTTTTGAGAAGGAGTTTCGCTCTTGTTGCCGAGGCTGGAGTTCAATGGCATGATCTCAGCTCACCACAACCTCCACCTCCCGGGTACATGCGACTCTCCTGCCTCAGCCTCCCTAGTAGCTGGGATTACAGACATGCGTCACCATGCCCAGCTAATTTTGTATTTTTGGTAGAGATGGGGTTTCTCTATGCGGGTCAGGCTGGTCTCAAACTCCTGACCTCAGGTGATCCGCCTGCCTTGGCCTCCCAAAGTGCTGGGATTACAGGCGTGGGCCACCATACCTGGCCCATTTATAAAATTATTAAAGAAATTTATGTTCTTTGTAGAAAACTTGGAAAATACAAAAAAGCATAAAGAAGAAAATAAAAATATCACCTACCACCCAGAGAGAAACCAAGTTAACCTGGGGAATAGAACTGGGATCAGTCTGTATGTGCGGCTATGTGTTCTTTTTCACTTAGCCCCATGTTGTGAGCTAGAGCATTTCTCATGTCATTAAAATCCTTTAAAAACATATTTTTACAGTATTAAGTCAGATAAATTCTTTAGCCATTTCCGTATTTCTGAATGATTGGGTTCCTCTTAATTTTTTTCTCAGTAATAAATGGTTCTACAGTGAATATTATGTTGTATTATTTTGGGGGGTAGTATCTTGGATTATGAGAGATTCCTAAAAGCGAAATTAAAGATACAAAGGGCACTTACTGCTTTCTCAAGGATTTGTTCGAAATTGTGTTCCCACTAAAAACAATCTTGTAAGCTCTGTGTAGTTATTGTTTGAAAAATCTGGCTGGGCATGGGGGCTCACACCTGTAATCCCAGCACTTTGGGAGGCTGAGGTGGGAGGATCACTTGAGGCCAGAAGTTCGAGATCAGCCTGGGACCCATGGTGAAACCCTGTCTCTACCAAAAATACAAAATTTAGCCCTGTGTGGTGGTATACATCTGTCGTCCCAGCTACTCGGGAGGCTGAGGTGGGAGGATTGCTTGAGCCTTGGAGGTGGAGGTTTCAATGAGCTGAGATCACACCATTGCACTCCAGCCTGGGTGACAGAGTGAGACTCTGTCTCAAAAACAAACAAACAAACAAACAAACAAACAAACAAACAATACTCTGCCAGCTTCATTGGTGAAGAGTAGTATTTTAATGTGCATTTATTTGATATCAGTGAAGATGAAGATTATTTCATGTTTTTAGCCTTTTCTTTCATCTGTGAACTGTCGATATCTTGCTAATTTTTCTACTCAGAGCTTTTGTGGTTTTTTTTTTAAACCAATTTACATAAGCTCTTATCTATCAACCTATTATCAATTTTGAAATATTCTCTCCTTTGGTTATTGACTTTAAAATTTTTACCTCTCTGTGTATATCTATACATCTATATATAGGAGGAGCTTACATTTATTTTGTGGTAAAATACACATAATATAACATTTACCACTTAACCATTTAAGATTGTACAATTCAGTGGCATGAAGTACATTCAGTGTTGCACAACCATCACCACCATGCACTTCCAAAATTTTCCCATCACCGCAGCCTGAAACTCTGTATCCTTTAAACAATAGCTCCCCATTCTCCCTTCCCCTAGTCCTGATAACCACTATTCTTTTTTCTGTCTCCATGAACTTGACTATTCTAGGTAGAGCATGTAAATAGAATCATATGATACTTGTCCTTTTCTGTCTGTCTTATTTCGCTTGGCTTAATGTTTTCAAGGTGCATCCATGTCGTAGCATATATCAGAATTTCATTTCTTTTTAAGATTGAGTAAGATTTCATTATATGTATATACTACATTTTGTTTATCCACTCATCCTTGATGGACATTTGGGTTGCTTCCACCTTTTGTCATTGTGAATAATCCTACTATAAGCATTGGCATACAAATATCTTCAAGTCCCTGCTGTCAGCTTTTTGGGGGTATGTACCTAGAAGTGGAATTGCTGGATCATACAGTGACTCTATGTTTAATTTTTTGAAGAACTGCCATACTGCTTTCCACAGCAGCTGCACTGTGGTACATTCCCACTAGCAATGCATGAGGGCTCTAATTTCTTCACATCTTTACCAACACTTGTTATTTTGTTCTATGTGTTTTTAAAAA